TAATTTTATTATTTTGAGACAGGGTCTCACTATGTAGCTCAGGCTAGCCTCAGCCTCACTAAGATCCTCCCGCCTCAGCCTCCTGAGTGCTGGGATTACAGGTGTGCACCACCACGCCCGGCTCGGTACATATTCATGTACAGTGAGGCCCTCCAGGAGATGGTGTGAGGGGTGAAGGTGACTGGGTCACTCAGTCTTGGTTTATACTAGCAGTACACCGAGCTGGTCAGCTGGTCCTGCCATCCTGTGCACTGTGCGGAAAGCGCCGGAGCCAGGGTGGGGTGCTGTCAGGGCGGCAGTTAGAGAGGACATACTCACAGCTGAGACTCTTAGATGGTTGTCCTCCGGGAAGCAAGGAAGGTCTGCAGCTGAGGTTAGTAGGAGATGTAGAGGCTCGTGGGGCGACCCATGGTCTTTGGGCTCACCGCTCAGGGGCTCTTTTGGTGACAGGTAGCTTGTTGATGGCCGCTGTCCTTCCCTTAGGTTTTACTTTGTGATCCTGAAGCTAAGAGGCTGATCATGACACTGAAGAAAACCCTGGTCATATCCAAACTACCTATCATTGCCTGCTACGAAGATGCCAAGCCTGGTCTGCAGACGCATGGCGTCATCCACAGGGCCAGGGACTACGGCTGCATCGTGAGGTTCTACAACGACGTGCAGGGACTGGTGCCCAAGCATGAGCTTAGTGCCCAGTATGTCCCTGACCCGGAGAAGGTCTTCTACACCGGCCAGGTAACCTTTCCCTGGACTGCACGGGCCTGTGGGGGTAACGGGGGCTGCCTCCTTACAGGGATGAGGATAGAGCACAGGTGTGCCTGCTGCCCGTTAATGCACTGGGCCTGACCAGGTAAGTTAAGACAGCAGGAAGAACGGGGAAGCCCTTTCCGGCAAGCTCACGGACCTAGGCACACAGCCTGAGAAGTCATCGTCACCTCCAGTGGAGCTCTGTGCCTCGCATCCGAAATTGACCCGACCACTGTTGTTGGTGCTGGGATTTTCATGCCTGAAACAAACGAATTTGCATGTTTGCAGTACACACTGATGCATTCACATGGGGAGTTGGTGCATGTAGGTAGCACACCAGTACTTTTTCCTCCCCCTTCTCCTCCTTCCCCCGCAAAACTAATGCTTTAAAACTTGGGGTTACACCAGAAAAATTACTCACATCTTCCTTTTATCAGAAGACTGACTTGCGGGGTTCTGTGTGGTGTTTGCACCTCTTCCATTGTCTCCTGATCTGCTCACCCTGATTGTCTCTTGATCTCCCGAGGAGATCTTTCGGGGCCCTGAGGTGCTGGTGGAGGCAGCAGGTCCAGGGCCTGTGGGGCTGCTGCTGGCCGGGGCAGCCCAGATGGTGTGGTTTCTCTCCAGGTGGTGAAGGTTGCTGTTGTGAACTGTGAGCCGGCCAAAGAAAGGATGCTCTTATCTTTCAAGCTGTTGAGTGATCCAGAGCCAAAGAGTGAGAGTGTGGGACACGGTCGGAAGAAAGAAAAAGATGTTGGTGTCGGGCAGGTACAAGTCACCCTACCTCACAGTGACAGAGCAGGGCACCACTGACATGCAGAGTGGAGTCCGGGGCCTGTGGAGGGGGAAACAGGACAGAGGGGCTCCTGAGAGGACCTGGAGTCTATTCTCTGCTGTGTGTCAGAGCACACGGAAGCTGTTCTGAAGGGAGCGTCCCGATACAGGGTGGCTTTTCAGCACTGTGCTGCTGCCTTCTCCGGCTGCTTGGCCAGCCCGCGTTCCCTTTCCTCTGGGACCTAGTGAGGCGCTGCCAGGAACCCACAGAGAGTCCTGGTGAGGCTTGTTGGGCGCTGGGGGAAGCTGCTCTCTGCTGGTGGCCTCTCGAGGACCTTGGTGCCTCTGCGTTCTCTCTGATGCAGACTGGATTGCTGCCTGTGCCCGAACAAGCATTTGTCTTTTTGTTTCCTGAGCAGTTGGTGGATGTGAAGGTTTTAGAAAAGACCAAAGATGGGCTGCAGGTGACTGTGCTGCCCCACAACATCCCTGCTTTCCTCCCCACCCCTCACCTGTCAGACCACGTTGCCAACGGCCCACTGTTGCACCACTGGCTCCAGGCAGGTGACGTACTTCACCGTGTGCTGTGTCTGAGCCAGAGTGAGAGACAGCTCGTATCCTTGACTGGCATCCGTGGGGCAGGAGAGTAGGAGGCCAGGGGCCGTGGGTGGGAAATTCTGTGTCAGACTCCGCTTTCAATTGGAAACAGCATGGGAAAAAATTAACTGTCCGGCCTGAGAAATTCCTCCACAAGACCAGCCATTGAGCAAGCCTGGGTGGAAAGGGAGAGCAGGCCTGAAGGGATGCTGCAGCAGAGGGTGGTGGTCAGGTTGGGGAACCTGGAAGAGTGCTGGCGAGGAGCCAGGGTGGCACCCAGTGGGGACGTCCAGGGCTGTGTCTGGCTGGAAGCATTTGGTGTGCACCCCGGGGCTGGGACAGTTCATAAGGTAGCTGCTGTCCTTCCCTTTTTTGGGGGGCAGTACTGGGGCTCTAACTCAGGACCTTGCACTTCCAAGACAGGCACGGTGCCACTGAGCTAAATCCCTGGCCCTCCGGCCCTCCGGCCCTCCGCTCTTTTTATTTAGAAGACTGGCTGGTGGGACCTCTGTGCTTTTTCTCCCTACCCCACTGCCCCTTGGGGATGTGGGACCCAAAATACTCCCTTTGGTATTTATGTGGCTGCCTTGAAGGAAGATGCTGGAATGTAAAATAATCTCCGCACCGTGGCTGAGGAGGTAAACTCGGGCTCACTGGTGTCGTGTGGGCTGGAGGATTGTGCAGTGGTCAGCCCCATAGTGACAGGGCTGCATCGGTCAGAAGCGCCACACGGTGGCTGCCAGGTGGTAGCGAGTCAGGAGCCCCAGGGTCTCGCTGAGATGACTGGCTAGGCCCCCCAGAGGTGCTAGCTCAGCAGGCCAGCTCCGTTGGTCTGGAGAATTTGGTTTCTCACGAGCCCTGGATGATGGTGGTGCTGGCCGCACACAGACTCGGTGTAGGAGCAGAGGGTGGGAGGTCAGGAGTTGGACATTTCCAGAAAGTTCCTTGATGAAGTGCCATTAGCTACTCTGCAGGAAGCCAGCTTTGGTCTCCTCGGTAGAAGGTGGCCAGGATCCAAAGAGCTTCTCAGAAATCCAGCCGGGAATGCTGCTTATTGGCTTTGTAAAGAGCATCAAGGACTATGGCGTGTTCATCCAGTTCCCCTCTGGTCTGAGCGGGCTGGCCCCCAAAGCAGTAAGTCCACTCTGTGCAGAGGACCTGTCAGCCTCCTAGAACCTGAGGGGTGGAAGGAGCAGGGTGTGCGATGCTGTGAAGGTTCGGTTTGCCTGCTGTGAAGGCCGTGCTCTTCCTCACACAGCAGCGTTGAGAGAGGCGGACAGGTAGTTTCCCAGGTGCAGAAGGCCAAGCTGTGTTATACCCAGTGTGTCCAGGCTTGGACATGGGCTTTCCTGAGCAGCCCAGTTTAGGTTTTGGCTCTTGGGGTTTTCAAGGCACCAGAATGTCCTTGAAGTTGGTATTCCCTCTGCCATGTCTTTGAGCTGTGAACGTTTCAGATGAAAAGAGACCCTGGCAGTCCCATAGTTGGCACCCCTCTCACCGAGTCAGCCGAGCCCATGCCACAGAGCTGACTCCTGCCGCATACCGCTCCTAACCCAACCGCTGCTGCCCTCTGTCGGGCTGGCTCCCTGTGTTTCCCCGGGGAAAATCTTACTACATCTGTCTGGAACATTAAGTGGGAGTGACACGCACAGAGAGGGCAGAGGGTCGCCCCTGGGCTTCGAGAGATGGACGATGTGGTGCTTCTGTCTTGCTGGCTGGCTGAGCCTTCTTCCTGAGGGTGCAGAAGTCTGGGCTGGGCAGCCGGGACAGCACCTGCATTTTTTTGGCAGGGGACTAGATCTGTGCTCAGAGAGATTGGCCCAGGGGAGCTTCCTGGATCGCTTTTGTCCCTTCCCCTGTGCCCTGTTTCTGGGCACAGTAAGTGGGTTATCTTGATGCACTGCCTTCCCTGTCCCCTTTTCTACCCCTCTTCAGATCATGAGTGACAAGTTTGTGACGAACCCGAGTGACCACTTTGTTGAGGGGCAGACGGTGGTGGCACAGGTGACCAACGTGGACGAGGAGAAGCAGCGGATGCTGCTGTCGCTGCGGCTGTCCGACTGCAGGCTGGGAGGCCCCGAGAGCACCAGCCTGCTGCTCCTGAGCCAGTGTCTGGAGGAGCTGCAGGGCGTGCGCAGCCTCATGAGTGGCCGAGGTAGGGGCAAGGGCAGTGAGGCAGGCAGGGCTGCCTGTGTTGTAGCCATTCCCACTGTGAGGATGAGTTGTTGGGCTTTCATTAACTTAAAAAAAAGCAACATTTTTTTTGTGTGTTTGTGTGGAGTCTTACTTTGTTGCCCAAGTTGGCCCTGGATTCCTGGCTCAGGTGATCCTCCTGCCTCAGCCTCCCCAGGAGCTGGGACGACAGGTGCCCACTATCACACCTGGTTTGGCAATTTTTTTTGTATATTGTACTGGGAGTTGAACCCAGGGCCTTTGCATTGAGCTACATCCCTGACCCTTTTTGTTTTTTAATTTTGAGATGAGTCTAACTTTTCCAAGCTGGGATCAAACTCCTGCCTTAGCCTCCCCGGGTGCAGGGATTACCGCTGAGCACCACCACACGTAGCATCACAGACTTACTTTTTAGTGTAGTGTGACCTACATAAATGAATCAAAAGTGGCAGCCCGGCGATTGCTCATCAGATGAACACTCCTGTGTGCGACCCAAAGATAAAAGTCACCGTAGACACCTCAGGTCCCCTTTGTCCCACCTGCCCGCCCGGAACCAGCATTTCCTGTAGTGCTTTCTGTAGCCTTAGGTTTGTGTGTGTGTGTTGGATTCACTCACCTCTTCACTTTTCATTGCGTTCTTCGGCGAGTACCTAGTGGGTGATAAAGTACTTACGTGTGTGGAAGGGACATAGCCTGTTGCTGGTAGACTCAGAACTGTTCTGTGGGACTGCTGGGACCCTAGTGGCATGGTGAATACAAGGCCTGAGAGAGGAGAAAGAGGATCTAGAAACCAAAGGAACACTCGTATTCCCGCGCCTTGTTAACTTTCATCATGATTAGGACCAGGCAAGATTAGCAAGGGGCACAGCTCTTTCTGCCTGTGGTGATGGCTGAGGCAGGAGGATTGCGAGTCAGAGGCCAGCCTGGGCTACACAGTGAGACCCTGTCTCACAGCTTTCAAGGATAGCAGACATTTCTGTAGTAAGTCATTTTTCCTCATCAGTGATGTGAGTCTTCCACTGCCTTCTGTGGTGACAGCACGTTCCCCAGGCAGAGGACAGCAAGTGTGCTGCCTGGCCTTACCTGGTGCTCCCTCGGGTCTTCGGCAGACTCTGTGCTGGTCCAGACCCTGGCCGAGATGACCCCGGGAATGGTCCTGGACCTGGTGGTGCAGGAGGTGTCGGAAGATGGCTGTGTGGTGTTCTGCGGGGGTCCGGTGCCGGACCTGGTCCTGAGAGCCAGCAGATATCATCGAGCAGGTGGGTGCTTCCATCCTGGCCCGCAGCTCGGTCTGGGAACATGGGACGTGCAGGTGCAGGGCCGAGCTGGGTGTGCTGTGGTGCGTGACGGCTGCTAACAGGTTAGGTGTGAATCCCGGGTGACAGACAGTTTATGTATGCGTCAGATCGTGTAAATTAGGTCCCACCTGCGCCTTGGTTTCCCCAGCTCTGGCCGGAGTTCGTGTTTTGGGGTCTCTGGCGCCTAGGCAAAGTGCTGTCCTGGCTTCACCCTGTTCCTCAACAATGGTCCTGCCCTTTGGTTCCGCACCACAGGGCAGGAGGTAGAATCTGGGCAGAAGAAGAAGGCCGTCATCCTCAACGTCGACATGTTGGGATTGGAGGTCCATGTGTCCCTTCGCAAGGAGCTGGTGAATAGAAAAGCTCAAAAGGTGAGCTTACTTGGGACAGGGCTTCACGTCTCACCTGCAGCTCAGGTTCCCACCCAGCAGCCTGGCGCAGGGTGGCCTGGATCTGTGTGTGACATTTCCCACTTCCACCTCTTGGCCTGGCGTGGTTCAGGTGACTCCGTAGAGACGCCCTCTTTAGCACCCAGCCAGTGACATAACTGAGCCCACAAGTGTGAGTGTTCAGCCTGGATGTGCCCGTGTAGATATGACCTGTATTTGCATTCACTGCAGTGCCATGCAGTATGGAGTATGCTACAAAGAGTTATCTAGATTTAGTCCTTCACCTTGAGTTGCTTGCAGTATGGGGCAGAGGGGGCAATCAGGGTCTTGCTTAGCAGTTCGGGCTGGCCTTGAACTCACTATGTAGCCCAGACTGACCTCAAACTTGAGACAATCCTCCTGTCTCAGCCTCCCAAGTGCTGAGATTACTGGAGTGCACCACCACACCTGTTCAGACTTGCCTGCAGTTTTAAAACTGGAGGAGGGACGACACTGACTCTTCCCTCAGTTTTCTAGCAGGACACTAGAGCATTTTGTTACTCAGTGGAACTCGGGTGTATCCACAGCTTGGGTTTTGAGGAAGTTAGCTGGGTGCTCACAGTGATCTCAGTAATGACTGGTAAGGAGCTCCACACCTTACAGGAGCAGAGGTTTACTGTGGCTCACAGTTCAGTCCATGGTCAGCTGGCTTCAGGCAGGAACCGGATGGGAGAGGGGCCTGGTGGGGGAAAAGGTCCCCAACCCATGACAGCGAGGAAGGGAGGGAGGGAGGGAGAGAGAAAAGGGGAAAACGGGGGTGTGGATACCCGCTGACCAGGTCCCACCTCCAGAAAGGAGAATCGTGGGGACATTGGAGATCTGCAGTGGAAAAGGGGTGACTACTCGGGGAGGGGAGCTGCAGGGCTGAGGAGTCAGGACCCGCAGTGTCTTAGCATGAGAGAGCCGTTACCCGAATCACCCAGATAACTTAAAACTCGGGCATTCTAGGATAGGGCCTAGGAGTCTGAGTTCGTGACAGAAACTGAGCTGAGGAGACTGATGGGCGGGGAGGAAAGCTGGTCTGGAGGGACCTGGGGCCAGCAGCACACACTGCTGAGTGAGCCCTGGGCAGAAATGAGTAAGTCATTTCTCGTCTTGCAGCTGAAGAAAGGCAGCACACACCAGGCCACTGTGCAGCACTTGGAGCCGTGCTTCGCCGTGGCCTCCCTGATGGAGACTGGCCATCTGGTGGCCTTCTCCCTGGCCTCGCACCTCAACGACACCTTCCGCTTTGACTCGGAGAAGTTGCAGGTGGGACAGGGTGTCTGCCTGGTCCTCAAGACCACGGAGCCGGGAGTGACTGGTCTTCTTTTGGCCGTCGAGGGCCCGGCTGCCAGGAGGGTCCTGAGGCAGCCCCGGAAGAGCTCTGAGACAGCGGATGAGGATGAGGAGGGAGACCCCGCTCTGGCTGTAGGCCCCAGAAAGAAGCACGCCCTGGCCATCGGGGACGTGGTCACTGGGACGGTGAAGTCTGTCAAGCCCACCCGTGTGGTTGTGACCTTGGGAGATGGTGTGATCGGTTGTGTCCACGCCTCCCACATCCTGGATGACGTTCCTGAGGGTGCCACTCCCACTGCGACGCTGAGGGTCGGGAAGACCGTGACTGCGCGAGTAATCGGCGGGCGAGATGTGAAGACCTTTGCGTACGGAGGCTCAGGCCGGCTGGCGGGGGGTGGTTAGAACATGGAGAAGTAGTGCCTGGTGGTTCCAGAAGTTACGTGTGAGTCAGGTTCTCTCGGAGTTAGCAAAAGGCACTCGAGAGCCTGTTAGCGTGACACTGTAAAACCAGTGTGGTGCTCGAGGGCAGACGTGGAATTCCACATTGACTGTGCTTGTGTGCTTATACCTTTCTTCTCTTTTTTTGATGCCAGGAATCAAACCCCGGGCCTCACACTTGCCAGGCAGGCACTGTGCCGCTAAGCCACATCCCCAGCACACTTGTAGCATTTTTATTCTCTGAATTTTGTGTTCTCTCTTTCTCTTTGTTTCTGTTTCTCTCTGTCTCTGTCTGTCCCCCTACCCCTCTATTTTTTGAGATAGGGTCTCACTATGTAGCCCAGGCTGGCCTTGAACTCAGCGATCCTCCTGCCTCAGCCTCCCAAGTGCTGGGATCACAGGCGTGCGCCACCATGCCCAGCTCGGAGGTTTATTTTCTGACCTTGTAAAATGAGAGTAACACAGTGACTGTCGTGCAGCTGACGGGAAGACTGAAAGGGAGCATGCGTGTTAGGTGCCTGGGTGCTTTCCCGCTCACAGCTGTTGCTCCCCATCTGCCAGAGACTGTCACAGACTGTCCTCCATGGCACACCCCAGACATTCACTTCACATCTGTTACGCCATGTGTTACTATCGCAGAAATCCTTGGTGCAACAGAAAAAGCAAAAACAAAGTTCAATGTCGGACCAATAGTTTGCGTATTAATTTCAGGCACTAGTTGTGGAATCTTCCCCAGGTCATTTCTTGTTTCTTAGTCCTGTTTCCTAGTTTCTGTGACCAAGGAGGCTATGGCATGTGAGGGGGAGTCTCTTCAGGGTCTGGTGATGGCCCTGAAGGCCAGATGGGCCACGTCTGCATTCCTATGCAGGATGAGAGCCGCACTCATCTGGTGTAGGAGGTGGTGTTCGGACCGAGCGGAGTCCCAATCTCCAGCCCACTGTATTGAGCGATTTGACTGTTTGTTTCTCCAGGTTCCTCCCTGTGAGTCACCCCAGATTTATTCGAACCGTCCCGGAGCTGAGTGTCCGGCCAAGGTGAGGGCCACGGCCAGAGCAGTGGGCTTTGGAGTCGGAAACCCCGAGTTTTCGTCTGGGTTCTGCCAGGGTGAGGTCTGCTTCTGCCTCTCTGTCCAAGTTACCTTATTTCCCCAGAAGGGAGAAAAAGTGATCTTAGCCAAACTGAGTCCCCTACTTCATGAATTCCTGGTTCCCAGAGCATCAGCCCCTGCATGAGCTGAATGCCGGCCCAGCTTCTTGTCCCAGGCAGTGGTCCACAGGAAAAAATGTGTATTTGGGCTGCATTCTTTGGTTATTGGTTTTGCTTTTGTGTTTCCAGTACTAGGGTTGAAATGGGGCCCCACTCCACCTCTTAGCGCCACCCATGGTGCTGACTGCACAGTTGCTCAGGCTCCCCCAGGGCTAACGGGGAGGGTCCCCTGAACACCAATGTAAGAGCTGTCTGTCGGCTGGAAGACTGCTCCTAGTTATGGCTCGTAGTTCAGCACTTAACACAAGGAGACATTTCTGCCCCAGACCCAGTTTGCTACTTCTGAGTAATTCCCTAAATAAGCACAGAGCCGAGAATTCTGTCTTTTGAAGCTAGGTCTATTCTGGTGGATTCTCCATGAGAGGCAGAAGTTCCAAGTTGTGGTGTGTCTCATTGACGGGTTCTTTTCTCAGGAGCTCCTAAGCATTTTGATCTGGGTGCCTGTCTGCTCCTGCTTCCTCCATGATAGAAGGCTGAGCGTGCTCTCACATGCCTGTCATCTAACAGTTTAGGAGGCTGAGGCAGGAAGATCTCAATTTTGAGGCCATCCTATGAATCTTAATGACACCCTGTCTCAAAATAGAATACAAGAACTCAGCATCTTGGAATTGGTTGGGCATTAATGACAGAAGCCGCGTACATGGGCCATGAGGAAAGCTTGCAGGGTTCGCCCTGGGGCCTACCCGGGCTGTGCAGTGCACCTAGGGAGGATATAACTTCCAAAGGATAAGATCTGGTCAGTGTCTCTTTTTTTTTTTTTTTGGTCCTGGGACTTGAACCCAGGGCCTTTGCCCACAGCTATATCCCCAGCTCTTTTTATTTCTTTATTTTTGTTTTTGTTTTTTGAGACAGGGTCTCACTGTGTAGTTGAGACTGACCTGGAACTCACTAAGTGTCTCTTTTTTTTTTTTTGGTCCTGGGACTTGAACCCAGGGCCTGTGCCCACAGCTATATCCCCAGCTCTTTTTATTTCTTTATTTTTGTTTTTGTTTTTTGAGACAGGGTCTCACTGTGTAGTTGAGACTGACCTGGAACTCACTGTGTAGCCCAGGCTAGTCTCGAACTCAAAGTGATCCTCCTGCCTCAGCCTCCCAAGTTCTGGGATTACATTCATGTGCCACCACGCCCGGCTTTTATTTCTTATTTTGAATTGATATCATCAGTTTGTGCAGTGTGAGCTTGAATTTAGAATCCTCCTGACTCAGCCTACCAGAGTGCTGCAGTTGAGACGTGTCCCACCGCACTCAGCCATGTTTTACTTTCTTTACCATTTTATTGACAAGTTTTGTCTTGGTTTGGAAATTAAACAAGAGTAGCATTCTGTCATGTTGGGTAGGTGATTTTTGGACTGTAATTTTCAGATTACATACCCCTGTTGCTTTTTGGAAAAGAGAAAGAGTATGAAGAAAATGATGATGGCACCTGGTAGGGGATCAGAGCTCTGGTTTTTCAGTGGGTTTAATACTTACTCTGCATAGTTCACACCTCTGATTCTATGCAGGTCAGGTGAGAAATTATTTCTGGAAGCAGTTTTGTAAACTGAAGCAACTGCTAAAGTGTTATGGAAGAAGCAAGACTATTTTATTTCTTAAAGCTTGTAAAGATTATCGTGAGCTACCTCTTTACAGCGAGCTCACACCTGGGTGAGTGGTGTGGAGGAGGTTAAGTGGCCAGGGTTGTGGAGTGGGGATCCTGTACAGCCTGGCGTGGCCACTTGGGGGCGATGTTTTCAGAAGAGAAGCCTTGTTCAGACATTGCTGTCCTTTGGTTGCCTCTCTGGACAGTGAGCTGCAGAAGGATGGTTACACCGTGTTGAACACCCACTCGGCCAGCCCCGTGGAGAAGATTCAGCAGTACCAGACTGGTCAGACTGTGACTTGCTTCTTAAAGAAGGTGGGTGGCACCCTGGTCCTTTGAGAAGAACAGGGGTGAAGCCGTGACCAAGGCCTTTAGTGCTGGGCATTTGATTCTGTGGCACTGCCACTCTGAGCTTGTTGGAGGTGCCACGTGGCCTGTACTAGAAAATTTCTGATGTGATGGGAAACTAAATTAGGGCTCGCGCGATAGTTAGCAGGCAGCTCACAACTGGATGTGTTCGAAGGTTAATTGTACGAATGGAGAGGATGTTCATAGGTGAGTTGTAAAGTGCGGGGCTGATTTAGAGTTTTGCTGTTCATACACTCTGACGGTTGCAGAGCAGCGTGTAATCGGTGCGGGCCTGTGTGTTCTGGCCCGGGCTGAACACTGCACAGGAGGAGAGCATGTGGCTGTATGGGAGTGTCACACAGGAGGCTGGACCGCCTTGGCCTCCAGGGATGTCACCTTTGCCTTGCCTTCCTGCATGCATCTAGGAACAGGTCCCTGGTGCTCCACCCCTGTGGTTACCTGTTGCCTAAGGCCTGGACGCCTCGGCATAGCCTGTCCGGTTTCTCCTGCCCTGTGTGCCAGTCCCTGACAGCCTCCTGTCCTCCTCATGCCGGAGTACCCAGTTCCTGTTGCCCGGCCTCTCCAGGGCTTGGCACAGGCCCCTTGGCCTGACGGAGCTGTGCTTATGGGGCAAGCCACACACTCACTGGGTGTAATGTTTAGACTGGAAGGTGCGGCCTGGCTTTTCATCACAATGGTGCTGTATGCATAGTGGCTTCGGGAAGTGTTTCGTTGTACTGACTTGAAAATTGGGGTCTGGGATGAGGGCAGGACACTGGAAGTAGTGAATAATCAAGGGCTGAATTGAGCACGTACCTGTAACCACAACTACTCGGGAGGGTAAGGCTGGAGAATTGTAAACTCAAGCCCAGCCTGGTCGACTTAGCAAGACCTTAATCTCACATTTCAACTTTTGAAAAAGATCCGAAGTTGTAGCTTGGTGGTAGAGTACTTGTAGCATGCAGGAAGCCCTGGGTTCCATCCCCAGCACTACCAAAAAAAAAAAAAAAAAAAAGATCTAGAAATAAAACGTTGGCCCTGGAAGTGGTGGGCACACCAGTATTGGAAAGAGGTTGGTGGGATGGGTTGGTCCCATGGGAACAGCTCCTAAGTCCTCACCTGTGTGGAGTCCCAAGAGGGAATTGTGTCCTACCCTGCTAGCCGCTACTCAGGTGATGCTGGGCGCGAGGCCAGGGCTGTGGCACAATTCCTGTCCCTTGTGTGTACTCAGGGCCTTCTCAGTCCTGTGGTTTGTTTTTTGTTTTGTTTTGCTTTTTGAGACAGGCTCTCACTATGTAGTTGAGACTGACCTGGAACTCACTATGTAGCCCAGGCTGGTCTCGAACTCACAGTGATCCTCCTGCCTCACCCTCCAAGTGCTGGGATTACAGGTGTGGGACACCACTCCTGGCTAGTCCTGTGGTTTTAGGAGAGCTGATTCCCTATCCCATCACTCCTGTTTTCCCCCTAGTACAATGTGGTTAAGAAATGGCTGGAAGTGGACGTCACACCAGACATCCGAGGGAGAATTCCCTTGTTGCTCACATCTCTCAGCTTCAAGGTCAGTTTGCGCGGGGCCCCAGGAGGAGACCCCAGCCCCCCGAGTTGGACTAGGCCCGGGGAGTCTGCACTTACTTGGTGGGCTTGGGAGACTTAAATGTCATGGATTTGGATGGATGGAAGATGGGGCCTCCTTGAAGCATCAGAGGAATTTTTTTTATCCTTCTAGGTTCTGAAACATCCGGATAAGAAGTTCCAGATTGGCCAGGCCTTGAGGGCCACTGTGGTTGGCCCAGATTCCTCCAAGGCTTTCTTGTGTCTCTCACTCATAGGTGCAGGCCGAGGTGGTACCTGGTCAGGAGGGGGTGAAGGGAGGGCCTTCCGTTGCTGCCAGGCTGAAAGACACCTGCAGTACTGGGGTCCAGAGGGCAGAGTGTGGCCTGTCCTGGAAGCGGTTTGTTTGGGGGCTTTGGTCCGTGGCTTTTCTTACATTGTCACTGGGTCGTCGTTACTGACAGTTAGCTTCTCCCAAGTCCCTCCGGAAGGGCTGTTCATGTAGCCCGGCATTCTGAGCTGCATGGCGTGGTAAGCTGGGTGCTGTGGTCACTGCTGTAACCCAGTGGAGCTGTCTCCACTGCCCTAGTCTGCCAGGCCACGTTCTGGCTGCTTGCTTTTCATCTACTGGAGATTAAGCCCAGTGGTGCTCCTCTACCGTGGAACCCCCACCCCATGTGTGTGTGAAAAAGACTGGGGATTGAACCTAGGGCCTTTGCACGGGATACGTCCCTAATCCTTTATTAATTCTGAGACAAGGCCTTGCCAAGTCAACAAGTTGCCCAAGCTGGGCTGCCCTTGAACTTGAAATTGTCCTGTCTCAGCCCCCACCCCAGTGAGGGATTACAGGTGTGCACCACCCCTCAGCTTGGTGCAGGGGCAGTGTCTCTGAGTTGTGCAGACTTGAACTCGAGGCCCTCCTGGCTCAGCTCCCTTCAGTGCTGGGACTACAGGGGTGCATCACCACCCCAGCTTCCCCTGCTTTCTCGTCATTTCCTCCTCCCTGAATCAGGCTCCTTCTCCCACCAGGTCCACACAAGCTTGAAAAGGGAGAGGTGGCCATGGGCCGGGTAGTGAAAGTGACACCCGGTAAGGGGTTGACAGTGGCCTTCCCCTTTGGGAGGACGGGGACGGTCAGCATATTCCATGTGAGTGACTCCTACTCTGAGAGACCCCTGGAGGACTTCATCCCCCAGAAGGTTGTCAGGTGAGCCGCATGCTCTCCCTTTCTTTTCTCTCGTTTGCTTATCTGTGGAATTGGTCATTTTTTTCCTAAATTTTAGAAGTAATATATGTTTATGTTTGTTTGTTTTGTGGTACTGGGGAAAGAACGCTGGACCTTACTTGGCAAATGCTGCACCGCTGAGCTGTATCTCCAGCCCTTTTTATTTATTTTTTTCATTTTGAGACAGAGTCTCGCTAAGTTGTTAGGTTACCCCAACTGGGCTTCCACTTTTGTTCCTCCTGCCTCAGCCTCCCAGGATGGTGTATAGTTATGGGTGTGCACCTTGCTTGGCTTATATGTGATTTTATACTGGAAAAATCAAGAATATAAAACAGAAAATGAAAATTTCTGTCACTTCTCTCTTTCTTCACCACTTTTTGCCGATACAAGCTTTGGTGCCTGATCTTTCCAGACTTGCACATGTAGGTAATTCAGTTTTCCTTATATAGTATTAGGGTTTCATTTTATATTTTGATTTGCAATTTGCATTTTTCTTAGTAGTCTATCATGGACTTCTCTTCCATGCTAAAGTATCTGAATCTGCCTTGTTCTTTTACTTTATTTTTAATGTTTGCGTAGTATTTTTTAATGGTGCTGAGGATTGAGACCATGGATGACCACCCACTGAGCTACATCTCTAGCTGCTTTTATTTTTGTATGTTGAGACAAAAGATCCTGTGAGTAGCATTAAATTGCAGTTTCCTTCACCTGTCAGATGGGGGTCATAAATGACGTGCTGAAGCTAGGCAGTTCCGGGAGCCCCCCAGCTCTGCGTAGGAGGCCACTGTCGGGAGCCGGGGACTGTACTTCTGAGTTGCCTGTCCTGGCCTCGAGCTTCAGATGCTGCTGCTGCCTGAGCCTCCTGTGAGGCGGGGACCACAACGTGTGCCCCGAGCGCAGCTTCACTACTTGTCATCAGAACCGACATGACTGGTTCTGTGTGAGGCAGTAAAGTTGCGGTGCATGTCTTGGCACACGTTTGGGACACTGGTGCTGGGTTGTCGCAGGAGTAAGTTCCTAGTGTAACATTGAGGCCCCGCTGCTGTGACGGGCCATGCCCTCTGTCCTGTCGGGATCGTGTGCGGTGTGTGCTCTATGGCTGCTTCTCGCCTCCCTTCCAGCACTGCACATCCTCAGCGTTTACCGTTGCTATTGGTTAGGCAGAACTCTCGTTTTAATTTTTATCTCCTCTTTGGTCATTATGTTGTTTGGCTGTTTACCTTTGGTTTGTGCTCTGCTTTTGCAAGTCATTTGCTCCTTTTTACTTGAAATGTTGGTGTTTCTAGTTCTAAACATGCCCGAGTAGATGTGTTCTGTGAAAGGAGATGACCTCTGGGGTGGGTGGTCTGGAACAGGTCATAATCTGCCTCAGGTGCCTACAGACGAACCTTCCTCAGGCAGAGTTCTGAGGCCATCTCCTGCCCCGAATGAACTGCTCTGGTGTAGAGCGCTGTCCTCCGTCTCCACTGGCCCAGTCCCCAGTGTGGCCTCGACTGCCAAGCAGGTATCAGAAGGAGCCAGCGCAGAACTCCCGGGCACGGGAGAGCAGAGCGAGTCCAGAGGCATCCAGAGTGGATCTGCTTTGTCTCTCGAGGCTCTCAAAATGAGGGTGTGGTTTTGAGCAGCATACTCATTTTAAATACTTCAATGACAGCAGACCTGTGAGTAGAGTAAAATTGCAGTTTCCTTCATCTGTCAGATGTGGGTCATAAATTACATGCTGAAGGTAGACGGTCCCTGGGGGCCTTTCCCACTCGGCAGCTCTGGCGCCTGTTGTGAAAGGAAGAGGCATCGTGGGAGAGGTTGGCGCTGAATTGCTGCGAGATGCTTTCTTCCTCTATGAGTCCATGCTTGCTTGCTCGCACGCTCCCTCCCCCCCTCCCTCATTTGTGTGTGTGTTTGTTTGTTTGTTTGTTTGTTTTGAGACAGAGTCTGTGTAGTCAGACTGGTCTTGAACTCTCTGTGACCTCAAAACCATAGCTATTATCCTGCTCAGGCTCCCAGGTGCCCGATGACTGGTGTGCGCCACCACGCCCAGCTAAGATTCCACTCTTGAAAAATATGAACCAGCTGGTGTGGTGATGCCCGCCTGGAATCCCGGTATTCTGGGAGCCCGAGGCAGCAGGACTGCAAGTTCCAGCCCAGTCGTGACTTGGTGAGACCCTGTCTTAAAATAAAAAAGTGAGAAGGGGCTGGGGATTACCCAAGTGTGAAGGTTAGAGGTTCAATCCTCAGGACCACAATGAAAAGATAAATAAAATTTAAAAAGTTGTAAAAATTATGGCTTAGGGCAGTGATGGCGAACCTTTTAGAGCTTTCAGTGATTCAAGCGGCCTGCTGTGGCACTCGTGCCTTGGTTCCTCACCACTGCCTAGAGCTGTACACTGCCAGTGTAGGTGAGACGGACCCTGCCTCCCTCTTCACAGCCCCTGCACGGGCCTCACTGAACCTTACTGCTGCTCTGCCTCTTCAGTAGCTCATCCCTTGGTTATGGTCCCCCACGGTTGGTCTGCTTCCCTCTGAGATCAGATACTCAACACCTAAATCTGAGCGGGGCGTGGTGGTGCACACCTGTAATCCCTGCAGTGTGGGAAGCTGAGGCCGGAGGGTTGCAAGTGTGCACCCTGCCTGGGCAGCTCATTGAGACTCTCCCAACATTTGAAAGGTAAAATCAAATACGGCTGGGGTTTTAGCTCTACCCGAAGGCCCTGGTTCAGTTCCCAGCCGTGCACGTGCATGTGCGCACACGCAGATGCACACACGGTTCTGATGCAGGGCTGATCTCGTCTTACCTCTTCAATGCGTACGCTCCTCAGTTTATGATGAGCTAACGCCCATCACCCCGGTGAGCCCAGTGTCAGTGGGAAACGTCGCAGCGCAGTGCCTGTAGAACCTCTGTTGTTTCCCCTCATGGCCATGGCCGGCTGGGAGCTGTCGTTGCTGGTACCCAGACCATGAACAGGCACCCTACTAGTAGCATATCTCTGTGAGGAAAAGACCGGAATCCAAGTAGGTTTCCTACTGGATGTGTCACTTGTCTACTATTTTAAGGCAGAAAATCTTATACCATTCCATATGGGGACCATCTGGATACTCCGTGGGGCTTTGCACCTTCCAGAGGGCTTTTGTGTCTTAGGGTCAGGTTGGGTGCCGCCCCGGGAGAGAAGAGAAGCCAGTGCTATTTTACTTGGCAGACTATTAAACCGAGGCCTAGAGAGTTGCCATGACTTGTTTTCAGTGGAGTGCAGACATAGCCCAGGTCTTGTGTCTCACTGCAGCCTAAGATGCGACTCTGCAGAGATGCAGGCCACTGAGTGTCCCCTTCTTTGCTCTCTAGGTGCTATGTCCTGTCCACTGCGGGCCATGTACTGACTTTGTCACTGCGATCATCCAGGTAGGAGTGAGCGTTCTGGGCACCAGAGCAGAGGACTCGCTCAGGACCCGGGGACCAGGGCCTGGACGCTCACCTCTCTTCTGCCAGTATGGCCTCTTGCCCTGGTGCCGGGCGAGCTGTCGGTGCAGCTCCGGCTTCCCCGGGAGAGGCTCAGGCGTCTGGAGTTGGGTCTGTGGCTGTGTGGTGGAGGTGCCCAGGGCTCCGTGGTAGGGGTGAGTGGCATGGAAGGGCGTGGCCTGTGCCCACTTGCTGAGCGGGAGAAAGGGACAGTTTTAGGCTGGGCTCAGAGTGACGCCTCTGTTGGTTGGCATCTCCGATTCTTCATAGCGGGGTCTTGAAGCCAGGCCCTGCCTCAGAACTGTGTCCCCTGGCAAGGTCTTCTCACCAGCAGAGAGAGTTCCTGCCGGGGACGGCGGGGCATGGCAGCGAGGTTCACCTTTCACTCCCTTAGGACGAACCCGGAGACTAAGAGCAAAGTGGAAGACCCAGAGATTAGCTCCATGCGTGACGTTAAGGAGGGGCAGCTTTTGCGGGGCTACGTGCGATCCGTGGAGCCAAGCGGCGTGCTCCTGGGGTGAGTGGCCGGGTGTCTGCTGCTTCTCCCACTCGGCTTTGATGCGAATGCAGAGGAAACAGAGCTTGGGCATCCCACTAGCTTTTTATTTTATTTTAATTTATTAATTTATTTATTTCTGGTACCAGAGATCAAAGGGTCCTCATGCTTGCAAGGCAGGTGCCAGAACCACTGAGCTAAATCCCGCCACCCCCGAGTAGCTTTTTAAAATTCCAGGTCTTTAAATACTTTTTGAAAGGTTTTGAGTTGTTTCGTGTAGCGCTTTGAACACAGAAGACAGCTTGACCTGAACGCGTTTCTGGGTTTTCTCTGGCTTAGAGTCTGATGGAGATTTGTAAATGCTCTGTTCCGTCACGCCACGCCCCCAGCCCTGACGCTGCAGCCTTTCCCGTGTCCGCCCTCCCTGCCGCGTGCATCCCCAGCTTTGTCACGCTTGACAGTCCTTCCTGCTTTTGTCCTGCTCACCCGGCACCCAGGACGGGTGTGGCGCCGTCACACAGGCTCCCTGTGGAGGCCCCGGCCTCTGCTCTGCTCAGCACCACCGACTGCTCTGTCTGTCCCCTCCCAGCCTCGGCCCCTCGGTGGAGGGTTTGGCCCTGTTCTCACACGTGTCCCGGTGCGGCCTGCCCAGGAGGGACCTTTACAGCAAATACCTCCCTGAGGGGAGGCTGCTCACCGCCAGGGTCCTGAGGTGGGTGCTTCTCCTGCCATCCCTCTGCCCCATGTGGTGAGACTCCAGCCCTGTCTGGGAGCCCTGGGGGATGGCAAGGGAAACTCGAAGCCAAATGGCTTGGCAAGCCGGCCAGGCTGTGTCGCCAGCAATGAGCAGCCTTTGGAGCCCCGCCCGCAGATGTGGGCTCTCTCACTGGCCGAGGAGCAGGACATCGCAGCTGTGCCCTGAATTGTGTTCCACATGTGGTCAGACGTGTGGGTCGGACCTGCGAAGGTGGACAGACTCCGGGCAGGGCTGCTGGGGAGAAGAGGCCTCTGTGTGCCACAAGCCCTCGGGCTCTCTGCCCTCACTTCCCGCCTGCCTCTCTGCCTGCTGTAGGCTGAACCCCAGCGAGAACTTGGTCGAATTGTCCTTCCTTCCCGGTGATACTGGCCAGCCAGATGTGCTGTCTGTCTCCCCGGAACTGCTGCTTCAGAAGCAAAAGGAGGAAGTAGGGGCCAAGGAGAGGGACAAAATGGGAGAAAAGAAGAGGAGTCAGAAAAGGACAGAGAAGAACCAGGAGGGGCTGGAGGAGGGGGAGCTGCCCAGCAAGGAGCAGGTTGGGGCCAAGCGGTCTGGCAAGCGCGAGCGCCCAGACTCCGGGGAAGCGCAGGTGAGTGCGTGGCAGGGCCAGGCGTGCCAGATGGCCAGCCCAGCTGCCGGGTGCAGGGTGTGGACGTGGGCTCGCGAGGAGCCAGGGTGGGGAGCAGGCGGGCGCCAGAGGAGGCTCCAGGCATTTCCCACCTGCTGACACAGGAAAGCGTGAACAAGAGGCAGAAGAAGGCTGGGCCGCCAGAGGATGACAGCGGCGTGGAGGTGTATTATCGGGAGGGAGAGGAGGAGACGGAGGTGCTGCTCAAGGTGAGGGAGGTTGTGGCATCCTCCCGGAGAGCTGGGCTCTCGGGCCCACCCTCTTCCCTTCTCACAGACCAGAGGCAGGGCCCGTGCTGGCCCCGCAGCCAGCGCTGGCTCCCTGAGGATGGGCCGCTTTAGCCCACGGAGGAGCATATGTGCATGTAGACTGATCTGTGGCATTGAATGACATCGGGCCAGCAGAGCAGGCTGAGCCCCAGGGCTTCGTGCTCAGAAGCATAGAGGGTGGGCATGCAGGGGCCCCCACACCCTCAGTTGTGGTCATCTCTGTCCCCAACTCTCATGGGCATATTTGTGTCAGAGATGTGTAAGGTTACTTGGTTGGACTTACAAATGAGTCTGACTTACATTCTCCCAGAACGGTTCGTAAGCTGGAGACTTACCGTAGTGTTATGTCATATGTTTAGGTCGGGAATCTGTCGCTTACATAATTACTTACAGAGATAGTGTTTATGTCTGCCGGAAAATCTCCCCAGTGGACTGGGGCCCAGCCTGGCCTGGAGGAGCGGGGTCTCGGGTGGCAGGGCCTGCTCCTCCCGAGAGCAGCCTGAGCCAGGTGCTGTCCCCACAGGGGACACTGACCAAACCCGCAGATGCGCCCCGGCTGCGACTCTCCTCGGGCTTCCTCTGGGACGTGGGGCTCGACACTCTGACCCCGGCCTTGCCACCACGAAGAGAGAGCTCAGACAGCGAGGAGGATGAGGAGCCACACCATGCCACGGTGCTGTTTTCTAGGGCTCTGTCCTCTCGGGGACCCCTTGGTGCCAGGTTCTTGGGCCCCGCCCTGTCCTGGGGGACGGCCCCGCCCTGGAGTGTGTAGAGCCCTGACTGCCTGGCGGGCTCCCTGCGGCTTCCACCATAGTCCGCCCCTGGTCTGAGGGACACTCACTCACTCTTCTGCCTCTGCAGCAGAAAAGGAAGAGCAAGAAGGAGAGGGAGTTGGAGAAACAGAAGGCAGAGAAAGAGCTGTCGCGCATTGAGGAGGACCTTAGGGACCCTGGGCGGCAGCCGGCATCCGCAGATGACTTTGACCGGCTGGTGCTGAGCTCCCCCAACAGCTCCATCCTGTGGCTGCAGTACATGGCCTTCCACCTGCAGGCCACGGAGATCGAGAAGGCCCGGGCTGTGGCTGAGAGGGCCCTGAAGACCATCTCCTTCAGGTCCCTTTGTCTCCCCCTGCTCTGGGGTGGGGTCTTTAGACGAGGAACAGTGAATTGCCCCACGTTCTGACTGGAGAACCTGCTGCTGTGTGTTCCTTCGTTGTAGGCCAGAAACTGCAATTAGGGGAGCTATGCTAGGTACCATGGTGGCCAGGCTTTCTCTCAGAGCTGCAGCATCTGTGAAACAGAGCTGCTTATTTATATTTCATGGGCCTCTGTACTGAAATAGCCGTGAATGGCATTTACGAGAGTCTACACTTAAATAAGATACCAGTTTGGAACAGAAGTAGAGTGGGGAAGACAGCTGCACATACTAGGTAAAAACCCAGCAAGCGGCCATTGTCCAGGCCACGTCCAGTTGGTCTCCAGCCTGTGAGAACAGAGCAGTCCTGTTTCATTCCCTCAGCTTGTGGGGGGGGATCCAACCCAAGAGTCTGCCTCTGCCCAGGCCTTGTCGTGTTGTGACCTGAGGCATGGACAAACTAGGGGAGCCTGGCCCCGGCAGTTAGGGGTTGGGGCCTGGGTTTCTGGTGCTATGTGAGCTGTGGTGGTGACCGGAGCTCTTTTCAGCACCTGCACTTGGTTGGGGACCTGGGAGGAGGCAGTGGTGGCCGAATCCTGGGTGGGAGTGGCCCCTGGGCTGAGCTATGGGTCTTATGCTCTCCTCAGAGAGGAGCAAGAGAAGCTGAATGTGTGGGTGGCACTGCTGAACCTGGAAAACATGTATGGCTCTCCTGAGTCCCTGAGCAAGGTCTTCGAACGCGCTGTGCAGTACAATGAGCCTCTCAAGGTCTTTCTCCACCTGGCCGACATCTACGCCAAGTCTGAGAAGTTCCAGGTAGGAGGCTTGGCCTGGTGGCAGCCCCCCAAAACCCACACTCCCAGGCGGCCCAGGGCCTCCATCTCAGGAAAGAACGCTGGGCCCACATCTCCTCATCTCTGCCTCCACTTTGGGGAAAGGAAGTGGGAAGCCACACCTTGGAATTAGAGGGACAGGGGCCCTGGTCTGTGTGCCTTGGGCCACAGATGGGACACCCACACCTGGGTGGTCCTTTTCTTCTCTCCTGGTTCCCACCTTTTTTTTTTTTTTTTTTTTT